CCTAATCTGCCCTGTAGAGCTACTGTTAATTGTGATAAAGGAATTCAGCTCCCTGCAACATACATCTCAAGCCTACCTGTGTGAACTTGAAGTGCAATAAATGCCCAAATTCCTAAGTACTAAAACCTTCTTGGAGTTTGTAACATAATCGACCATTGTAATTTTTAACTGAAAGCCTCTTAAAAATGTTCCGTAACTGAACTTGGCTGGTTCTTACAGATAGTGAGGGATTAGAAGACTATACCGGGGCAGCTAAGCTTTGGCTTGGGCAAGAGTGGCTTGGATCTGTGAAGGGAGGTAGGTGGCAGTAGCTACCCTGGGCTGCTGCTGAGCTGATCTCGGGCAGATGGGCAAGGCGAGAGGAAGAGCAGCTGTCAGCCCAGGGGCTGGATCGGGGTGCCTCGGTGTCATCCTCCTCAGTACCTGGGGGTTTTACTTCCGTTCCCTTGTGCAGGGGTTGGATGGAAACAGGTCGCGTCGGTTTTGTCTTCTGGTATCTTAGCGTCTCACTGCAGAGGATGGTGGTAGCTGTGCAGGCTCTTGGGAGGTGTGCAGGAGGGAGCCAGGACAGTGCCGGGGCATGGAGACATCATGTCTTGTATGCGTGAGGGGCACAGTTCTTCTTCTTCGCTCTCCTGTAGTCAGCAGGTGACTGCCACCACCTTTAGAAACTACCTGCCAGGGTAGAACTGGAGTACAGGAAGTCCCAGCACCTTTGCAGGGCAGCGTGTACTGGGAAATGTGGTACAGGTGAGTCTTCTCTCAGATTTAGAGTTGAATTTGCGGAGCTGAAAAAAAATGTTGTTTAAAAAATAAAAGGGAGTTTCCTACAGCGTCAGTGACCGAAGCAAACTTGGAACAGGATGGTGATCCTCAGAAGCTGCGGCTCGGATTTAAATTCCATCCAACCCAATCCCCGCAGTGTGAAAATTTAACCACGAAATGGCAGTGACAGTAGTGTCCTTGGTGTCATTGGCCTAAATTCCTTTTCTTGTTGTGCAGACTTGGGTGCACCAGTTATCTGACTTCTGCTCTCACTCCACAAGTGGCCAGATGCCAGCGGTGGGCCTCAGTGCACGGGTCTGGATTAAATGATCTTTGGTCTGTTCCTTCCAGCCCTATAATTTATGTGCAAATATGCGAGAGAGAGGAATGATCTGTGATCTTTCAACAAGAAAGGACTATAAATATCATATTACTTATGATGATTTGAAACCTTTACCGGGAGAGCCAGCCATGGAGTCAGGAAAGCAGAGGCGGTGGAGGTAGGAAGCTGGGGTAGGGAGGGAAGAGCTGGCAGAAGCCGGAGAGGTGGCGGGGAAAGCTGGGGTAGAGAGCCGGGAGAGAGGTCGTTAGCTGTGTTAGTCTGAAGTCAGTCAGAAGGTTGTGTAGATACGAGCACGAGCTTTGCTGAACCCAGGTTGAAGTCATCTAATGACGTGAACTTGAGTTTGCGAAAGCTGATGCTCTCTGTGTATTCTACTCGGTTAGTCTGTAAAGGTGCATATCTGCCCTGTCGTCTTTGGAAGTCGCTCCATTTCAGCATGTTTCTTCACCTGCTCGACGTAAATGTAATTAGCTATATCAGTGTAGCTGAAAACCAGAGTTTGTCTTTTCTCGGCTCTCAGCAGTGTGCAAGTGCACTTGTCAAATCATGGCTCGATCTCTCTGAAGAGGACACCTCTTTAGCAAAATAAAACCGGATCCCCTTATCAGCCTCCACTTCAGTAGCTGGCTAAGTGGGCACTTTGAGGGGGGGAAACCAACTAGTTGGGGGGGCGGGGAGAGGAAGGGGGGGTTGTTGTTTTTTTACAACTACTGTGTAAAATTATTCACACTCCTATCCTGACAATTTCTATTTAAACCAAGCCATAAGTACTTTACATGGTCGTACTTTACATTTAATTCGTCTATTAACCAGAATGAGTTGTCTTGGTTTTTGAGCTTGGGTGTATAGTATATGATCTGATCTGTGAACAAGAGAAGACTTAACTCCTCTTTTCAGATCTCACCTGTTTTAGTTCCACCATCAACTCATGGGACTGGAAAAGGTTTTCTGGGTAATCCTGCCTGGTCCTGTTTGATCATTTCCTTCACTAAACTGGTCAAACTGCACCTTGAAGCTAATCAGGTGTGGCATCCTCCTCCTCTCTTCCCCACTGGCTGGTACTCAGAAACCTTCTAATGTCCAACCTAGATTCATTCAGGGCCAGAAAATACCCATTTCTTCTTGTGACAAACCTTGTTCCTTAGATTAACCAGCTGTTCGAATCATATTCTCTCTCAGCCTTTCCTTTCCTACACTAAACTCTTCTGATCTCGTCGGAGAGTGTTTCCATTTCCTTGATCATCTTAGCAGCTGTTCTTTACATCTGTTTTAGCACGTGACCTGTTACCCCCGACTTGGAATCCATAAATCATGGGTTCAGGTGGATACCTCCAAATCGGGCATGGCCATCTCTTGAGTCCCTAATGTCTGCTGGTTTCCAGTCAGTTTAAGTATGTTGCAGAAAGCCTCATCTCTTGTAAATTATCTGTGGTTATAAGCTTCAGAACATTGTATAATTTGTAAATGGAAATTAATCCAAATGAAGTGAAATAACACTAGAGCCTGTGCATCTAGAATCCACTTGCTGTAAACCTGTTTATTTTGTTTTTCTATCCTCTGTTGAGGATCTGCTAACAAATGTCATTGAGTTTAATCAAATAAATTAGTCTTTTTGTGTAAGTATGTGTGGTATTTATGTATCTTAAACTGATGAAAAATATAACTTGTAAAAGGGGAACAAAGTTTGAGTTAGCAAGGAACCTAATATTTTGAATTTTCTGAAACTTTTGTATATAGATTGGAATCCTAGCACCACACTAATTCTAAACCTTTGCCAATTATTAATATAAATGTTATCTTGGTGTTATGGCTTGGTCTTGTTGCTACGTGGCCTGGAAAGTGCCAAGTCCAGTTTAGTAAGTGCATCCAGTTCTTCTGTTTCACATTCAAGTAGCTTATGGAAACCAAGCAGTTAGAGAGCAGGATCAAGACTAGAATATACCAAACCAACTTTATTTTAATTTAGTGCTCTTGAGGGCTGCAGCTGTCCTGTTGCGTGCCGCACCTAGCACTGCAAGGTCCTGATCCAGCTCGGATGGCTTTTAAAAATATTCTTGCTTCTGAACAAATATGCTACTTGCTCATGACCAGTTATGGATAGATACGGGATATGCCGCCTTTGATACCAGTGAGCCTTTTGTTTCTGATTTCAAAGGCAGACGATCTAGCCCTGTGATTGGTATGTTGATTTAGAGAATTACATTTCTACACCATTTAAAAACACTAGCACCAGCTACAAGTAGCCCTCGGAGTTGGGAATGCGACTGCAGGACAGACTGGTGCTCTGAGCGCAGATATTCGAAGAGGGATTACTACGCCAGTGAATTCTCCGAAGCGGTCCTGTTTTGGGGTCTGATGACAAAGACTTGTTATTGTACGTCAGACTCAAGTGAATTTTTAGGAAGACTCGCTTCCTTCTGCTGTTCCTAAAAATGTGTGAGAATTGTTTCCATGAAACAGAAATGTTGTTCTGTAGTTTAAAATGTCTGTAGTTTAAGGTCTCCTGTGTATTGCGTGACTATCGTATTAAAAACTAGCATCTTCCTCTCCCCAAGCCCGCCAGGCAGTACTTTACAAACCGACTGGAAGCCGTTCAGAAAGACCACAACAGTCTGTCACAGAAGTGGAGGCTTTCGTTTGCTCCCCATTTTCACTTTTGAACAGAAGTGATTTAATTTGGCATCAAGTATTCTTTCTGTTGTAGAAGAGCTCCCTTATGAGTCCTGTTATAACTGATTTTTTTTTTACTCAAAGACTGTTGTCCTTGTATTGAGGGACTGCCCATGACTATTTTGTATTCAATAAGTGTATCCAGCTCAGGTTACTTTAAAATGAGTTTTGACAAGCCATCGAGGGCCACGTAACAGGCAGGCAGGGGCAGATAAATATTAAAGCAAAGCAGATAAATATGAAGCAAATATTAATTTTCTAAATGTTTTAGGGGCCCCGCGGGCTGGGTAGAATGGCCTGGCGGGCTGCATTTTGCCCACCCCTGTGCCAGACTGTGGATCAGTGATCTGACTTTGCTTTTGTTGGTGAACATTCATCTTTTTGCTGCTAAAGTATAAATTATCTCCTAGGTTTTATGTAAGACGACAGAATTCTGCACCATAAACGTGAGGTACAAAGCGTTCAGCCATACGAGTCCCTTGCTCTAAGAGTTTATAAGATTACCTAAGTGATTTTTCCCTGAATGGGAGGGAACATGCAGACAACAGCAAGAAGAGAGAGTGCATGCTTTTGGAGTACACCTGGCGCTGAGGATATGGAGAAACATTTTGCAGTGCACGCATGAATTTGTTTTTCTGGTGCATGCTGAAGAATGTATTTTGAGAAGATGACAGGGTTGGAATAATTACTTTCCCATTGTCATTGAAATTGGAAGTATGTAATAAGTATGTAAAAGTATGTAATAATATTAGAGAGAGACTGTGACTATAAAATCTAGCCAGGTTAGAAATGTGACTTCAGGTTGGCCATATGCTATCCCAGTTTCTTAATTCAAGTTTTGATTGTTACAGTAATTTTATAACTTTGAAAATATTTACTACTGCTTGTGTAAAACTAAACATAGGAAGGAGGACCTGACCTCACCCCAGAAAGACACTGGAGCTGACGCGCAGTGCTGTAGAACAGACCGACCTACCAGGCATTTGGTTTCATGGGATTTTTTAGAAGTTGTTTGTATTTCGAGGAGGAAAAGATTTAAAGGGATCTTTAAGTTAATGGTGTTCCTTTGAAAGAGACGTATTTTGATCTCCAGTTTTCTTTTTTTTCCACGTGGTATTGACTGCATGTCATTATTCTTTCTCTGTTTTTAAAAAACTCTTCTTTACTGCATGTGCCTCTTTGTATGTGGCTCACTTCAAGATAACTTCTCTGTACTCCTCAGAAATACCGCTACCAGGATGAAGATACTCCTCCACAAGAGCTCAGCTCTCCGCACATTAGCAACGAGGCGGCGGGTCCCGAGTTGGTTCACGTGTCGGAGAAGAACCTCTCCCAGATTGAGAACGTACACGGCTTTGTTTCCCATTCTCATATTTCACCGGTAAAGGTAGGCAACTTTTTAAGTCGCTTTAAAAGCTCTGAGCTGTTGTTTTAATAGATATTGTGGCTTGATGGAAAGGAGGTTTTGTCAAACCCGATTTCAGTTTCTTAAAGTTAACTGTATAGGTTTAGGAGACTGTAAAGCTTTTGACTTAGTGCCATGAAATGTTCCGACTAAAAAGACGGTATCAATAAAATGTATTTCACTTGAACTAAATCTGGCTAATGTGTGGGGCTCAAGAAAGCCCTTTCATGGGGCCCGATCCCATTAACACTTTGGTCAGTGGTGTGGCAGTACACACTGTCGGCACGAGGGACGCTGCAGGTTGCTTGGCAGCTGGCTGAGCACAGCCCATGCTGCGGTTGGGGCCGCCCGACATAGTAATCGGTGTTGCTTGGGAAGATTGGTACGTTAAAACAAAATCAGTTTTAATACTTTTAAGTGTAACGTTGTACCTGTAGGAACAAGGAACTTGGGGTATGCCTGTGGAGGAGGTGACTGTATCTAGGAAAGGATTTCAAGGTCGTAAAGCAGGGCTTGGCCACAAATGGCGTGTGGCTGCATCCAGCCCCTGAAGAGCCCGAATCGGGCCCGTGGCAGCCCTGGGTACTGGCGGCATGCTTCAGCCGCAGTGGCTGAGGCGGTGACCCCAGGGTCCTGCTGCCTGCCTCGTTCCGTTCATGCTTTCTGCTGTAGCAGTGCTGGTAGCCCTGCGGTCCTAGAGTCCCTTCTTTAAAAGCTGTTCCCTTTGCAGGTCTGTGGTCCTCAGGGGCCTAGGTTACAAGCAATGGCCTGCAGCAGCAAAAGGTTGCCATCTCCTGTTGCAAAGGACAAACAACTGAACAAGAGCTCTCTGTGCAGTGCTCCTGCAAAAAAAGTCTAATGCGATGCTTGGCTAACCATTGCCAAAGGAGGCAATGTGTAGAGGACACAGGAGGATGCTCTTCTGTACGAGTCCCATTTGAGACTGACGTGGCAATGCAGTGTTAGGTTTCGTGTCACCATTTTAAAAGGTAACTGAAGAGGCTGCAGAGAAGAATTACAAAATGATTCAAGGGTTTGTAAAAGTTGAATTTATCACTACCTAGCTTTTGAAACTGAAGACCGAGATAATTTGATTGGATTCTGAGAGCATCTTCATGGAGAGAATAGCTGAGTACTAGAGGTCTGTCTTCACCTAGCGGGCAGGGAAAGGCATAACAAGAAGCAGTTACCAGAAGCTAAGGCCAGACAAGTTCATTATTGGAAATAAACCACAAACTTTTAACCAGGGTAATCCTGTAAAGAGAAGTCGTTTTTCCATCTCTTCAAATCTTCAAATAAAGCTTGGACTCTTCCAATAAAACCTTTTCTAGTTGGTGAGCCCAGTACTGGGATAACTGGGTGAAATCACCTGACTTGCTTATACAGGTTGTCGGATTAGGTGATTGGATGCTTCCTTCTGGCATTAAAAGCGCCGGGATTTCTGGGCCCCCAGTAGCAATCCTGTGGAGTACATGTAGTTTCGCAGCAGTTTCTGGATGGCATCATATTTCACTGAGCTTGGTGATGTTGACAGCTATATTTTTATATCCATTATTTACCTGTTAGGTAAATTCACTTTTTGGTATTTTTTTAGAAGAATGGCCAATCTGTGGCACCACCTCTTGTGACTAAACTCCAGCAGCTAGGTCCAACTGTCCTAAAATCCTAAATATCAAGTAATTTAAAACTCAATTGTTTGTAAATTAAATTAAGTTCCAAAAATACTATCATCAAATATATAAATTGTTCATAATTAAATTGCTCTTCAGAGAACATCAGTGTGTGCCTCTGTCCTTTTCCTGGGCAGCATATGTTAACCAAATTACTTCTGTCCTTGCAACACCAGGGTAGAGGCAGTGCCTTTGTCTCCCATGCTTAATGACCTGTGACATGTTGTGGGGCGCGTCTTGGCTTTGTTTTCATAACGTATTTTGTAGTTGTGGTATGTGAAGGTTTAAAGTAGATGATTGTGGTGACTCTTAAGATAAATGGTTACCTGCAAAGGCAAGGCACTGGACACGTGGCCCTACAAACCCCGCCAGTGCTGCCTTTCTAAATACCTGTGGAAATGTGTCCAGTAGCTGCATGCCAGCCGTTCTGGATCCAGAAACGTAATACTGAACACAAAGCATAATCCCTTCATTGCAGTGACTCTGAATATTGAAAAACAAAACTTTCTGTGCATTACTGTCGTCTTAAATGAAACACGAGGCATACCATTTAAATCCCTACGGCTACATGAATATCCTTTTGTGAAGGGGATCATTGTGCATTCCCAGTGGCTTGTTCGATCGTTAAGGTTGTTAACTTTATTTTTTCAGAGCAAATCACATTTCAAACTGATGTTGGTTATAAATGCAGACATGTAGAACTACACTTGCAATGCAGTATGCAGGGATTTAGTCACATTGCTCTCCTGCAAGATGCATTTCTTTTTGTGTTCCACATACAGAGAAGCGGATCGGGGGGGCAGACGGACCCCGGGGATTCTTTAGCCATGAGGTTGAATTTGTATTTACCAGTAAGTCCACAACTGCACATTACAAGTATTGATCTCCATTTAAAAATAGTCCAACCTGCTTCCGAATTTCATGGTCCTGGGTGGCATCGGGCACTATTTTCATGGTGGAGTGCCTCTGATTGGCTGAGGGGCCCTGAATCCTTGGTATATTTTACTCGTGTTTAAAGGGCCTGCATTTCAGTGCTTTGGAGCCTTCTGGAAAGCCTTTTCTCTTGGCGCTTGAACAATACCTTATGGCATGAGGCCTTCAGTATTTGAGGCTCTACAAGAAAGGAGTCTTAATTGCTTCATCTCCTTTCTTACTCTCGTTATCTAAGTATTTGTAAAATCTTTTGTAAAAAGTTAAATCCAGTTGTCAGTGTAGTTGGGTATTGGTAATATTTCTAAGGTAGGTTTCTCTGTCCATTTTACCTTTCTGACATAGCTCTGGAGTGCGGTTGGTGCAAGCTATGGCAGACTGTCACCATGGTGTCAAACTATCCTTCCTGCTCCAGGTTTTTCATGACTTGGCTCTGTCTATTTGTGTTCTGTCCAAGGCAAAATGTACTCCATAAGAGAGGCTAAATCTCTTGAAGCCTTCACACTCCCAGCTGCTAGGGTTGGCAGGTTAGATTGCAAGCCATCCACATTGCGAGGACGTCTTTCTGCACGTGAAAACCGAGCGACCAAGTGAGGCTTGCAGCCAGGTCACCAGGGAGGATCCTAATGGCCACCAGCTTCCAGCTTTGGGCTCCAGAAGTGAAGCTCAGCATGGCTTGGAAAGGAGGTTCGTGTGGCTGTGCACAGGGATTGCCAATCAAAGTATTTTTCCTATTAAATTTCCAAGCTGGAACATAATGGCACTGTTAGTAGCACCTTGAGAAATGGACTGTTGCTTCAGTGTACAAAGGGTGGTAGACCCTGTCTTTAAGCAGAATATAATTATAGTTACATTATACAGTAGCACTGTTTAAATGTTAGGGTTTATTTAGATCCAGGAGAAAAATGCTCCTTTTCTGATGAAAAGAAAGTCTTTACTCATCCTAAAGACTAGTATTCTCTTTCAGAAACAGTATTACTACTGGTGAGCCTGTGTTGCCATCTGGTGGACTGTAAAATAGTAATATTAAAAAAGAGTAAGTGGAATTACCAGTGCGTGTCTCATACTCAGCAAGCACAAGACATCGACTTGAAACCGTCTTGTGCATTCTTCAGACATTGATGTTAAACAGTATAAAGTCAAGCCCGAAGCCTGGAGTTGTGAAATCTAACCCTGGTCCCTCATTGACCTGCTTCTACCTTGCGTAAGTCCGTTATCATCTGTGGGTGGTACCCCTCCATAATGTCTGTGAGCAATATTTGTTGCGGAGAGGAGAGTGGGTTATCTGAACCGGGGCTGGATTTGATGAACACAAGTGCCTGAGGTACAGGTTATGCGCTTAGCATTGGAAACTCACTTCTCTTCTGTTTGGTCTGGCATCTTTTGAGGATGCAGTTGACAATGGCATGGTATTTACTGAAGGCATCTTGTTTGAACTGTGGCAGCAGTTCTTGGCTAAGAAAGTGTTACCTCCTTTCTTTGGACATTTTGCTTGTTTGGACCTATGCTGGGTCATGAGATAATCATTTTGCTTGGTTCATTAGGGAACTTCCTTGGAGAACAGCAGCAACAAATTGGGTTGAAAATCCCTTTGGCTGATAGGAAAGAGCTGTATTTAATAGCAAAGTTGTTTGACCCATCCTAGCTGAGTAGGGCAGAAGTAGCTGTATTCCTTAATGAGTTTGAGAGCTACTGGTAAGTGTGAGCACGGCAGTCTGTCGTGTGCTTGTACCTGGCTTTTTCTCCATTGTAGCAGAGGGCAGTCAATATTCTGGAATGCATACCCGGTGTTGTACTGTACCTGTCGTGCTAGAGTATTGGTGTATTATAGTAGACATAGTGAACATCTGAGACATGCCAGCCTTACTTAGTTTTCAGACAGAAGCCCTCCTCCATCTTAGTTAAAGAAGTGGCATATTGGTGCCAGTAGTGGAATAGTCCTGGCAACATGCTTGGTAGTTTGCTTAGGACCTGCTTTACTTGACCTACAGACTTGACACAATTGCTGCTTTTTATAGTTATAAGAAACTTTTTCTCAGTGTCTGAAAGAAGTAACAAAATACAAGAAAACTTCTCAAGTCAGACAAAACTTACATGATTTCAAAATTAACATTTAAAAAAAATTTTATTATACCTGGTTTGAAAACCTTGTTTCAGTACCTTCATTTAGATAATAGCCCCCGCCCCCCCCCCCCCCCCCCCTTTCTTCCTGTGTGTGGCTAAAAAACCCCCCCCCCCCCCCCCCCCGATATTACTTGGCAAGGGTATCGTTTAATGCAAATAAGACTTCAAGAATGGTGTCTGCATTTAGGAAGCACAGGCAATTGGTAGCAAAATTTAAAGTAAACAGTCTTGTTATCTTAACTGACTTCATACATTTCT